AGCCATTAGAGGAGTGACATTTGTGACTCTAAGCTTTCAGAAGTCAAATTACAAGAAGGAATAGATTGTTATTACTACATAACAATCAAGGTAAGATCTAAACCCTATTCTTATGTTAATATTGATTATCACATGCTAGATCTAGGGTTTATGGCTTTGGATGATTATTGCATGTTCATTAGACAAACTAGATCCAAAGCTTTAGGGTTTGCATGTACACCATAGGAATGTTGTAGTGCTCATAACCCATCATTAAACACACTCAAATACTCAAAATATAAACACTACCACCACCGGAAAAATATAACGACCACCACCGCCGGAAACTATAAACACCATCGTCGCCACATGTCAACACCACCACCTCCTAAAGTCGAATCCAGATCTGAAGAGCTAAGGGTGGTTTGGATGTTCCATTGGTTGGTGGTGGTGGAGACGACGAGGATTGAAGACGATAACCCTAATCGAAGTCGGATCTGTAATGGTGGTCTCTCCCCCTCTGTTTTTTAATCGACAGATCGAGTGCTAGATCGTCTCCTCTGACGGCAGTGCTAGAGCGACTTTGCCCCTTTCTTCTCTGTCGCTTCTTCTTCTCCGGTAGCAGTGGCGAGCTCAAGGCGGTGACAGCTTTCAAATCGGTGGATTTTCGAGAAAGTTTTTCCAGATTAAAGGGTGTTCAGTGTTGATTGGAAACCTTTGTTGTTGGGTGTGTTCTTGGATCTTGAGGGTTGTAGTCTGCATGTTTTTGGGGATTTAAAGGGGTTTTGGAGGTGGTTTTTGGCAAGACCGGTGGTTATAGTAGTGGTTCTGGCAGGTGACGGTGTTCATAGCTTCATCTGTTTCATGACAATTTGATTTGGGAATTGAGATGGGTTATTTGGAGAGTGGGTGTAAATCTGAACATTTGATTCTGTAATAGGTGGAGTTTTTTTTAAAATCTAAAATTAGAAAAATAAATAAGAAAAAATAGAAGAAGAAATTGATAGGGAAAAATCTGTCATTTGAAAAAAAATTTAAGCAAATTGGACCAAACTCGCAACAAAATAAAAAGTTTGGACCACTCGTGCTATTCCAAACTTTTTTGGACCAAAGTGGTAATTTTGAGTTAACCATAGGGACCATTTGTGCAGTTTAGTCTTAAACTTTTGAATCTAATTTATTCATGTGTTACTAGATCTCAATTTGGTCATATTTGGTTTGATATATATATTTTTTAATATGTCAATTCATCACCTCGAAGGAATCGTCCTCCACAGCCCATGACAAACTCTGGTGTTTAGAACAAGACATGTGCTGGTAAATCCTTCGTTGATGTCGTTAATGGCAGGAAGGTAGAACACTCAACTCCACCGGTGACTCTCAAATGTGTTCCTGCGATGGAATCTGATTCACTATTCATTGGTGAGGTTTCGAATTTCCTGCATCTCAGTAACCTTCCCAAGCTGCTCAATGCAGACGGGAATTTACCATGTCAGGTGTTCTATGCCGGTGGTTTGAAAGTCATTATGAAATTCCGCCATAAAGATGTGGCGGCCGGGTACTTAATGAATGATCATGCTTGGAACAGATGGTTCAAGTGGCTCAAATTTGGTATTGTGGATGATATTCCATTTGAAAGAATTGCTTGGGTCAAGGTTATGGGGCTCCCCTTTCATTTGAGATCTGAAGAAAATGTGAGCTTGGTTGCTGGCAAGCTCGGTAGGATCATTGAAATAGATAGTAGTCAGAATTAGCATAGTATTGATCTAACGGTTCCTCACGCAAGAATCCTAACAGGGGCCAAAACAGTTATTAATGTGGAGGTCAATTGCATCTTTAACGGGAAAAATTTCACTCTGTGGGTGTAATTGAACGTGAAGATGTTTGGCAGGCGTTCTCCAAATACTATGAGTCTGAATCCGAACCCGATATTGAGAACGATGGCGTTGACGATGATAGTGTAAAAGCTTATTCTGATGATGATGGAATATCAGACACATGGGACTACGGAAATCATCAGGACGTTGAAGAAGGAGAAATCGTTATGGAGGCTGCGGAGAATAAAAAAAATTGAAACAGGAGATGGTGTCGTCACATCTTCGGCACCGACGGACTCTGATATGGTGATGAACATTGATGATAAAACTCAAGCATTAATTATGGAAGTCCATAAGTCACCTAGGTAAAGCGACGCAGTTACTAATGGGAATTCCAAAGAGGAATTTATTACTGATAACATAAACCTATCAAACGAAATATGTGGCGACTCAGAATTAAGGAGTCCGAATTCTAGACCCACATTACCTATTGGACCCTTTCCAATTTTCTTAGCACAATCCCCCTCTGGCCTAATCTTCCCTAGCCAATTTCAAAGCAATAATATCCCATCTTGTGATTTTGGTGGTTCTCGCTCAAAGAAACGTAACCTGGACAAATTAATTCACACTGAATTATCTGGGTCTATTCCTGCTCGCAGTCTCCTTCCTGATTTTATCGATCCCCCACCTCCTTCTTCTTTCCCCACATCTCCTCACAACTCTCATCCTATGGTGGTTCAAGTTCCCCCCTTTGACCTGAATGTCTCTGTATTAGCCTCTACTCCTGTAGAATCCGACGATTGTTCTTCCTCCAATGAGATTGTCAACCTCATACAAATTGGAAATGATGTGGTATTCCAAATTAGTGAAGATAATATCGGCATTTTGGACGAATCCATATCCAAAATGGCTGAAGGAGTTGGTGATACACTCGGTGGTCAATGAATACCCTAAGTTTAAACATTAGGGGGGTGGGGGAAACCCACAAGGTGGATTGGATCAGAAAGCTTAAACACGTGCATAAGATTGACTTCATCGGATTACAAGAGACTAGAGTTATGGACTTCCATGATATCGATTTAGTTGGCTGTTGGGGTTCTCCTGACTTTGATTATGTTGCAGTAAACCCCACTGGTAGATCGGGTGGTTTATTGTGCATCTGGGATCCCGCTATATTCTAAAAAATTAGTGATATTGCAACTAGAAACTATATTGCGATTTCTGGGCACTGGAAGGGTGTACCAGGTGTTACTACTTTGGTGAATGTTTATGGTCCACAATCCATCACTGGAAAAGGGGCACTCTAAGCTAATTACAAAAACATATTAAACTTTCCTACACTACAACATTTGTCATGCAATGACATTCTCTTTAGCCATGTCCATCAAATCTTCAATCTTTTCTCTTGGAATTGTCATGTTCATCATTTGCTTGATGTATGCAATTTCATCATCAACTGTTGCTCTTGGGTCTTCTGTGACCAAGAGATGGATAAGCTTTTCTATCCTCTTCGATGGTGAGTTCATCAAGTAATGGGGGAAATTCATTGGCACAGGTTTAGTCTTGCGCTCTACATACAAGTGCTCAATTTCACGAAATTTGTGTGCCCTAGCCATTATTTTAAAATTTCCCAACACATTCTCGTCTATAATGGGGGTCATGGTCAAACCCTGTTGCTCTTTAGTTGGCATATAATACCAGTAACCAAATGTCTCATAACCCAGACTTTTAGAAAATCTTCCTAACAACTCCATGTCTAGCAATTCGATGTTGACCCAAGTAATGTAAGCTACTGATGTTTTTGCATAGGATTTACCTGGAAAATCGGTAAATTATCTTCCATGAACCACTCTAATCGTTATTTTGTTATCGTTACCGTTCCCATATTGCACAATTGGATTTGTGGTCGGTGGTTCCTTTGTAATGCTCCACAGTTGAAACCTTTTCTTCACCCATGGATCGGTGCTCGTCTGTCCTGCCATTGATCGATCAAGAAATTTTTACTTTGTAAATGATCGTTGGTTGGTGATGAAGGTTCGTGTCTACCAAGTGTGAGAATGAACATTTTCATATAGTCATAGGGTTTATAGGGATGATGAATCACAACTGAAGAGACATCGACGTAGAGTATCATCATTTAGTTTCAACTAATTGCAGGGGAGGAGTAGTTCGAACGACGGCGATGATGATGACTATGTATAAATATATATGTACAATAATTTAATAAAGTATTAACTACTTATCATATTCAATATTGTTTATGTTTTTATGTAACCATATAAATTAAAAATAAATTTTTAATTTGTACATTATTATATATCTACGTATGGGGTTTATTGAAAAATAGAATTACAAATTTATTAATAAATTTGAGATTAAATTTGTGCGTATAGTAATAAATTTGAGATCAAATATGGTTAGAGTTGGATGTATGAGTTAGGTGTATGGGTTAGAGTTTGGTAGGTCAGTGGCACATGTGATTTAGGGTTTGGATGTATGAGTTAGTTGTATGGGCCGGTTATAGCTGGTAGGTCAGTGGCACAGGTGAGTTAGGGATGGATGTATGAGTTAGGTGTATGGGTTAGAGCTTGGTAGGTCAGTGACACATGTGATTTAGGGTTTAGATGTATGAGTCAGTTGTATGGGCCGGTTATAGCTGGTAGGTCAATGGCACAGGTGAGTTAGGGTTGGATGTATGAGTTAGGTGTATGGGTTAGAGCTTGGTAGGTCAGTGGCACAGGTGATTTAGGGTTTGGATGCCTGAGTTAGCTGTATGGGCCGGTTACAATTGGTAGGTCAGTGGCACAGGTGAGTTAGGGTTTGGATGTATGAGTTAGGTGTATGGGTTAGAGCTTGGTAGGTCAGTGGCACAGGTGATTTAAGGTTTGGATGTATGATTTAGCTGTATGGGCCGGCTCCACCTAGTAGGCCAAAGGCGCAGGTTAGTTAGTGTTTGATGTATGAGTTAGGTGTATGGGTTAGAGCTTGGTAGGTCAGTGGCACAGATGATTTAGGGTTTGGATGTATGAGTTAGTTGTATGGGGCGGTTACAGTTGGTAGGTCAGTGACACAGGTGAGTTAGTGTTGGATGTATGAGTTAGGTGTGTGGGTTAGAGCTTGGTAGGTTAGCGGCATAGGTGATTTAGGGTTTGGATGTATGAGTTAGTTGTATGGGCCGGTTACAGCTAGTAAGTCAGTGATACATGTGAGTTAGGGTTGGATGTATGAGGTAGGTGTATGGGTCAGAGCTTGGTAGGTCAGTGGCACAGGTGATTTAGGGTTTGGATGTATGAGTTAGCTGTATGGGCAGGTTACAGCTGGTAGGTCTGCGGAACAGGTGAGTTAGCATTGGATGTATGAGTTAGGTGTATGTGTTAGAGCTTGGTAGGTCGGTGGCACATGTGATTTAGGGTCGGATGTATGAGTTATGTGTATGGGTTAGAGCTTGGTAGGTCAGTCGCACAGGTGATTTAGGGTTTAGATGTATGAGTTAGGTGTATGGGTTAGAGCTTGGTAGGTCAGTGGCACATGTGATTTAGGGTTGGATGTATGAGTTAGGTTTATGGTTTAGAGCTTGGTAGGTCAGTCGCACAAGTTATTTAGGGTTTGGGTGTATGAGTTAATTGTATGAGCTAGTTAGAGCTGGTTAGTCAGTGGCACATGTGAGTTACGGTTGGATGTATGAGTTAGGTGTATGGGTTAGAGCTTGGTCGGTCAGTGGCACAGGTGATTTAGGGTTTGGATGTATGAGTTAGTTGTATGGGCCGTTTACAAATGGTAGGTCACTGGCACAGGTGAGTTAGGGTTGAATGTATGAGTTAGGTGTATGGGTTAGAGCTTGGTAGGTTAGTGGAACAGCTGATTTAGGGTTTGGATGTATGAGTTAGCTGTATGGGCCGATTACACCTGGTAGGTTAGTGGCACAGGTGAGTTAGGGTTGGATATATGAGTTAGTTGTATGGGTTAGAGCTTGGTAGGTCAATGGCACAGGTGATTTAGGGTTGGATGTATGAGTTAGGTGTATGGGTTAGAGCTTGGTAGGTCAGTGGCACAGGTGATTTAGGGTTTGGATGTACGAGTTAGCTATATGGGCCAGTTACAGCTGGTAGATCAGTGGCACAGGTGAGCTAGGGTTGGATGTATGAGTTATGTGTATGGGTTAGAGCTTGGTAGGTTAGCGGTACATGTAAATTAGGGTTTGGATGTATGTGTTAGTTGTATGGCCGGTTACAACTGGGTAGGCGCACAAGTGAATTGGGGTTGGATCTTAAATTATAAATATATTATAAATTGGTCCTATTATATATATAT